TGTGTGTGTGTGTGTGTGTGAATCCATGACTAATGTGGGTTTTGTTGTTCTCATCTCATGAAACACGTGTTGACCGGAATAAAACTTAAAGCAGAATAAAGTTGTGATGTGATGAAACAACAGGTTTTTCAGGAACAGAGTTAAGACAGTGAACCGCAGAATTAAAGGCTGAAACTAAATTTGAGACGCCCGTCTTTTAAAATCCTAAACAAACTAAATAAGCAGTTTTTCTTCCACAGCGACAGATTCGAACGTTAAAAGCTGATGCATGTGTCACCTCAGAGCTGAGGAAATACAACAAGTGAGACTTACGATGGAGTTAATTCATGTTTTATTGAAAGTTAACATTTCTTGAAGTGGAATTTAATTGTGGCCAATTTGATTTGAAAAGTTTGAGAGAAGTTCCATCACTGCAGCAGCACACTGTAAAAAGAAAGTTACGCTGACTTCATTTGAGAAGACACGTTGAGGCTGAACTTTAGGTCAGTTTGGAAGAGGTTGGACTTCTGCTTTGTTAAAAGAACCTGAAGCTGAATGTTAGTTTGGAGTTTGGTTAGGTAGTTTGAAAGTCGTATGTGCGATCAGTAATCAGCATTGTCCCAGTGTGGAGGCCGAAACATGAAGCAAAGTAAAATATAAATGTATGAACATTGTTAGAAAAACACCGCAGATAAACAGAACCTCTGTGTTTCCTCTTTTTTTAAATGTTATTGTTGAAACAGCTGTTTTACAGACGACTGCTGGAGATGAAGCGTTGAGCTGCTTCTCTTGTCGTCTGATGCAGCAAGTTTAATTTTCCTGAAAAGACTCAGCAGTTGAGTTTGTTAAAGGGGAGGAGGAAGTTTAACATCTGTTTAACGAAACACAGGAAGTCTTCTCTTCACTTCGCTACACACACGCACACGCACACGCAAAACTCTACATGGATCCTGGATTCAAACAAAGAAGCTGGAGGTGTGTTAACCACTGTAGCGCTGTGCCATCCAATACAGTCAGTTGTCCCTCCTGTCTCTGATGAAAGTGTTGTGTCACGTCATGTCAGAGAGTGAATGGATCAGTAATCATCTCCGTCAGATGTGATGAGTGGAGGGGCAAAGATTAACGACGACCGCGTCTCTCGCTCTGTTCTTCTGTGCGATGGCGGCGAGGCTCCGCTCTGACTGAGCTCCTCCGACCAACCAAACTGCAGCTTTCAGCTTTCGCTCGTCCGGCGGATACAAGTCACACACACATGGAGCAATTATGTTCTCTTCTACTCCCACAACCACTTCCTGTCTCCTCTCTGAGAGCTCTGTGAGCGGAGGAGATGGAGAGGCAAAATGAGATTTGAACCATCTCCGCTGTCACTTAGCATTAGTTTACAGCCTCGTGCTGCCAGAGCGCAGAGGAAGCACTTTGGAGTTTTCCAGTCAGGCTCAGTTTACTGCGTCGAGCAGACGGCTGGTTGATGTGAGGAGGAGCAGATACTGGGTGTGGAGCAGAAAAAAAACGACTTGAAATCGAATCTTAAGAAAGAAAGAGCTGATGCTGCCAAGTAATAATTCAGTATTATTGTTTACTGACTCCGAGAACAGTCATTGTTTCATCAGGATGATCGAGTTGTTTCATCATTGTCCAAATTGGTTTAAATAAACAGTTCAAGTTAAACACTAACATTGTTGTTCTGCTTTGATTTAATTAAATTAAACTCGATTTACTGGATTAAAATATTGTTTGGTCGCAAAGTTCATGTCATTGGAGACAAACGAGGCTCTGAACTGTTCGCCTGGTGAAAAAAGTGAAACCAGGACGACACAAATCTCACCACGAATCACACAGGCGGCGAGGTTCTCGTGCGTGTGAGCCGTCAGGTCGTACAGTTTGAGTACTTGAATTAAAAGCTTGTGTTTTCCGTCACAGATGATTTACACGAACAGCGTGATGATCTCGAGTTTGTTTGAGGAAAAGTCTGTGAAACTATTTGAAAACATTTGAATCAATTGGTTGTTGCGTCAAAACCTGTTTAAACTTGATTATATGAAAAAGTGTCGTCTCTAATTTGCTTCATCTGACGCAGGTTCTCAGCTTCTTTTCATCGGTGTCTCTGTTTGACTTTTGCATATTTGTGTCATTTGACCTTCCAGTAAAATGCATCTATTGTGGCTCATGAAACCAATTATGACCCTTAGTGCCGAATGATGAAGACTTGACAGTCACACTTCTGCTTCTTCACCTCCCTGTGTCTTCACGTGTTTGTCCGCAGGCCGAGTACGAGGTGGCGCCCGACGAGAGGAGGAAGGACTGCGGTCAGGGATTCATCGACAAATACTTCAACCCAAAGGTAGCTGCTGCAGAAAAAGATCCAAAAAACTGTTGATGGAAGGGATTGATCTTCATCATGTGACAGATGGAATCAGATGACCCAGCTAATGGGATTTTCCGCTTTTTTAGATATCATACAGATGTTTATTTGTTAAACAACACCTTGTCTATATTCGCTGAATGAAACCTTTATATTTGAGATGGTTTTAAACGACACTGGGCAGCATGACTTGCATTTTAGTGAGGACACTATAAAGAAAGGCTTTTATATTAAATTCTACTTTACACCATTCTTATAAACATCTGAGTCTGCACGTTGTGACCTTTACTAAGAAACTATTCTATAAAAATTCAGCTTGAATATTACGTCTTTTCTTCCTCAGCTACAGTAACGCCCTCCTGAAATTCAACAATGCTCACAATGTATTTGTGAGATTTGGCAGCTGAACCTCCACAGTTCAGTCCATTTGATTTTCTGAATCCAAACTAACCCTTTTTTCTCCTTATTGAATAAAAGAAAGAATAAATTCCAATTACAGTCCGAAACCAAAATTCTGTTTCTGCCCTAAAAAATAATGAACTACGAAGGAAAAGCAGAGAAGATAAATTAAACCGTTTAAAAACCTCAAATCCAATTTGCAGATTTGATCAATGTAACGCATTAGAGCAGATTAGTTCTGCCAGAGTCAGAGTCAGAAAAACCGTGGGTGGCTCATCACCACAGGGTCACAGAAGATGATAGAAAAATAAAACCCAGATCTACTGATCTGAAACAAGTGGAGGCCTCATCAAGAATCCACAGCTAAACTATTTCCTCAGACTTTGTGTTTGTGCGAGTCTGAACAAGCAGAAGCAAAATCCTCTGTCCTACAAGTTCCTCAGCGATTGAACCAGCTGAGTCACATCCCGTTTCCCTGGACGACTTTTTATTCTCTTGTTTTTGCGATGCAGTCAGAGGACCATGTGCCTGAGGTGGAGGACGCCATGATGGCTCAGTGCAGCGAGCAGCTGCAGCAGGAGGCCTGTAAAGAGCTCTTCAAGGACTGTACCAAGTAAGGCCACCATCTACCATCCACCCTCTTCCAGCTGTAACTGTGCCGCTTCATTCAGCCTGTTGACTTTACTACCACAGGCTGCAGCCGCGTCGTCATATCTATGTATGCTTCACTCAAACGTCTGATTTCCCAGCAGCACTAGCTCCGACTTCACACACAACAATGGTGGACTACAGCGTCTACAGTTTGACGCCTTCACAGACAACTGCTGCTTTACTTTGGCACCCATAGTTCGAAATATTTCAATATTTGTTGCTTGCACTCAGATTTCCTGCTCTCCAGCTTCAGCTCTTCGTCTGCACTTGGTTTTTTTTGTCAAAACAATAAAATGTCCACGTTGTGGATGTGTTAGCTTTACTTCTTCGAGAGTCCTGAGTCCGGTTAAAGCACAAAGAAGCAGAGCTGACACACCACAGGAGGTCGGGACAGTTTCATTTGTCACCACTACACCTGCCATTCTATTGGTTTGGGAGTTCTGACAGTTTGAGCACAAGCAGAGCAAACCTATTTGCATGTCATCGTTCTTTACAGTCAAACACAGAATATTGGACTGAGGTATATTCAGGAACGTCGATTGAGTTGAGCCACAACATTAAATCCTGCACAGACACTTTTTCTGCTCACCCTGAAATAAAACATCTCTTCATATGAAGCGAGTCACTGTTCGCTCCCTCTCTCGTTCTCTGTGAGTTCACTGTTCTCCGGACACTTAAAAATAAAATACTGTGATTCAGCTTCAGTCATGCACCGAAGCAGCACATGAAAACAAGTGCTGCTGGCCCCAGCAGGAAGCTGACCGCCTGAGCGCTGACCTGAATGTCGGCTCTGTCTCTGCACTCAGGATTTGGCAACGTCTCAAATCTTTCATGTCACAAGGCTCGAGTCCAAGTGAAGTCATGAGTCACAGCGGTTAAAGTCAACGAATAAGCAATTCTTCATTGTTTCTGTTTGGAAGTCATCAATTGGCAAACTGGCAAACTCAACTGGAGTCTGATTGGAGTTGACGTTCTGTGACTTCCGACTCGGAGGCAGCGTTGCTCATGTTGGTCGTGGGGGCGGGAAGGTCTGACCTCACCTCGACATGTCTGAGGAAAGTCTGATGACGCCAAACGCCTCAGCGGCGCCTACTTCCATTAAGACCTGTTCTCTAAACGAGCGCTAGCAATCTGCATGGACTCAAGGTGGCGACACACCTGATGTACAGCAGGTGGCAGATGTGTCGTTCACACAAACCAATGATAAACAAGTGTAAACGTGTTCGGAGTGGTGCACCCCCCCCCCCATCTGTTCTCATTTGTCCTCACACTCCGTCGTTAATATGCGTAACAGAACGATAAAGCGCATCACAGAGTGTTTTGTTTTGATACCCGTGTGGAGATGTGATGTGGTCGTTATCAGATGGTTGCACAGACCTGCAGCAAACGCCCGCAGCCTTGGATGTTTCCCTGCTACAGGAACCACAGAGAGTTCTCTCTTTGGGGCACGCGCAAACATCTGTGTTGTCCTGCTCACATCTGGAGCAGGAAATAAAACTGATAATTAATGCATGAACTGTGACACTCGAGGCAAGTTTATTTATATATAGCACCATTCAGACAAAAGACTCTATTCATAGTGTTTCACAGAGGAGGAGGATAATTAGACACTTAAAATAGAACATGATAATAATACAAATACAATAGAGATTAAGAAGAGGTTTAACTCCTTAGGAACATGAAGAAGCGGTGTTCTGGGTCTGGATCCAACTGAACCGTGGTTCTGTTGGTTTGCAGAGTGAAAACACTTTGTTGGACAGTTTGTACTTTTTACTACAGGAACATTTCCAGTGTCTGGACACCATCTCGATAATAAACGATGTAACTGCTGTGTAGCGCTTGGTTTTGCTTTAAACGTACGATACATAACTTCGGAACAACAGTATTTTCTTGACATTGTGAAGCAGATTTCTCTGCGTTCGAACATAAGTAGAATTGTTGAATATCGTATCTTTAAGTTACTGAAATATTTTTGGACATTTTTATAAGCAGCTTCTCTTTTTCGTGTCATTTCCAGATTGATCCACGACTTTCTGAGCGTGGCGCCTTTCGCTGACTACCTCGACAGCATGTACTACAACAGGTTCCTCCAGTGGAAATGGCTGGAGAGGTAATGTTTCTCACTCACACACACACACACACTCACTCACTCTAACAAACTAAAGATCACGAGCGAGGAGAGGACCCTGAATCTGAGTGTTCCAGGAACCATGAAACTTCACCACTAGATGTCCCTACATTCTACACCCTGTACCTTCAACCCTCAAAACACCAATTTAATTTGTAAGGACCAGACAAAATGTCCAAAATTACAAAAACCACCACAGACATTTTTTCATATTTGGAGTGGAAAGGTCTCACAACAGTGAATCTTTTCTCGATCAGATTCTGAATGGATTCTTGGTCGTCCTGATGATGATTCGTGCTAAATAAATAAAGTTATTATTATTATTGTTGTTCTGCCGTCATGAAGGAGGTTAGACGCTCAGAGAGAAGCTGCTGACTGGAGTGTCAGGTTCAGATCGGGATCAATAAGTTCTCTCTCGGTCCGGTTTGAACGACTCTGCTCTGAAAACAGCTCGAGCAACAGAAACCAGATCTGAAATCAGTGGTTTTACCAAGTAGCTTCAGGTGCATCACCACCTCCCCTCTGGACTGAACTGCAGCCAAAACTTATTGCCACAAGTTTATCAAACTGCATCTGGAACATGATGATGATGACGCCTTCACACAGGACTGAAGTCGCGTCCTGACCCCGGTCCGAGACCAGCTGCTGCTTCACAGTCAGTGTGTGTGTGGATTACACCAGGTCGTTAAGTTGAATACAGTCATGAGTAAAACACTGGTGTCACATTATAATGACAACTTTATTTCCTGCACAGAGCAACTTTCAAAACGGTCACACAGCTTTTCGTCCCGAATCTCCGAAGCTGCCGGGTTCTTACGCAGTCAGCAGATCTCACATGTACGTCACTGCTCAAAGTTTTCAAAAGTGAACTGTATGGTCCTGACATCACTTTTTAAAACCGCCGGGATCTATTTTACGTAGTCGTTTCAGTCGCTAGAACAAAGAGCGTCGCTATAATCGAGACTCAGGGACATGAAAACATGGAGGATGACCTTTTCTATATCTGAGAATGAAAGGATTGATCTAATCTCGGTGAAATACCTCAACTGGACAAAGCAGGATTGTACAACTTCAGTCGCCTGACTGTCAAACGATGAGCGATTCGTGAAGTACAACCGGGCTAAAGATACATTATTAGATGAAGCACAGAGCAGATGAACCTTACGGCGTGCAATGACGAGGACGTATGGTCTGAAGTACTGACAAGGTCCCTTCACCACAGAATCTTTAACTTTGTAGAACTTCTACATCCACCACAACACCCTCATAACACACTAGAGGGAAGAAACACTGAGAAAACCTCACGCCTCCTTTAGGATGAATAGAAACACACAGGTGCTCTGTTTCACAACAGCCCGTTGAATTAGAACATTTCTATCTCACAGTGTTAAACATAAAAACATTCCGCCCCTTTGTCCGGATCCGTCCACAGGTTTACTGGAACCATGTTCGCTAGTTTTTGCGTCATCCTGCTTTAAAACAAACTCTGCGAGTGAGTTCAGGTGTAAACGTGGTGACACACAAAGTGGAAAACTCAGTGTTCCAAAACAAGCAGGTGAAGCAGCGTCACCGAGCTTATTAAGCTGAAAATGACTCGACCTGTTTTAACAAGTCTTTGTCTCTCGGGTCTTTGTCTTCCGTGCTTGAAACTCTTGTCCAGAGGGAGAAGAAACGTGACGCAGTCACCTGCTCAGTCGGTGCTTCTCGTAAACGTGGCCACTCACCGAGGATGCAGAAGTTTTTTACCAAACCTCTGCTCGCTCTGTAGAAAAACTGGTTTTAATGAGAATAAGTCGTTTTTGTTGCCCCCTGGTGGCTGGTTACTTTATGATGCTGTGTCATGAAGTTGAGATTTGATTTGTCCTCTACACACACTTCACACGTCCTGACCTCAGATTTATTTTCTTCTTTACGTCATTCAACATGTTCACATCTACAGGTGACGATAAAACCACTGCTTCTCACCCGATCACATCCTGCGGTCGGAGGAAAGCGACCAGAATCCTCATGTGAAGCCACGGTGTCGCTTAAAAACATTGTTCAGAAAGAAAACGGTGGATTGTTCTCTCTTTCTGTTGGATCCACGTTCAGACCCAAACCTTCTTGTTGGAGATTTATATACAACTTTTAAAACCAGTAACTGTCCTAAATTTGTTTTCTGAACTTCTGAACATAACAAGTTTACATTGATAACTAGTTTTAAATCTTTTGGATGTGACCTTTACATGTGCTGCAGGTCTATCAATTCGTTTTTTGTCTCTGTCCAACAGGCAACCGGTGACGAAAAACACATTCCGACAGTACCGAGTCTTAGGGAAAGGAGGTTTTGGAGAGGTGAGTACATTTTATTTTAAAAGTTTATCACTACAACAAGGAGGTCGTGTAGTTGTTGCTGTTTCCCTTCGTGTTTCTGCAGGACTGAGTCAAAAACTACTGAGATCCCATGAAAGGCACCAAAGGAAGAAGCAGTGTTTAATATCTCTGCAGTGTTTAGGTTTCATTTCAGAACCTGAGAAACTCTGAGGTGGTTTCAGGTATTAACTCATATTTAATGGAATTAATTGTTCGTCAGCCTCTGATTTACATTGTACTCTGTACAGAGGAACGAATAAGGAATCAAGTAAACCCCTGAGTTTTGTTCGGTTCCAAAGTTTGTGTGAAGTCAGTGATCAGGATGTAAACGCTCTAGTATGAGACCGGTTCATTAGTATAATCAGACAAAAGAAGAGTGAGCAGACAGCTGAGATCAGAGGGTGTGACCCATTTGAAAAAAAAATGAGGATTCAATTTCATTTTTATTCCAAAGGTCAACGTCACAGAAGCAAACTCAGTAAACGTTTCATCCTCAGTTAACGATGCAGGCGTCAGACCACATCCTCCCTCAGTCTTCAATAAAGACTCATTTAGATGGTTGAGAAGTTAAACTCAAGCTTAAGACTGCGATTGTGCAAAGAGCTGCAGCGTCGTTACTGAATCTTTCTCTCGGCTCCAGAAACGAAGGAGTTCATCTGTGGAGTACAAATCCAATTACACGCCACTGAATGGTGTCTCTGTTTTGATTCCCCGCTGATCTCACGATGACAAACGATTCGAGGGAGCAGTCGGGTCATGAGATAATGTCACATATGAAAAAAGAGTGCACGTCTCATCCTCCACGTTGGGTTTTCACAACAGTACAAACTCAGGAGGGGATTTCCCTTCATCTCTCTGTTTGTGAGACTCCTGTTTGATGTCTGTGCTCTGTTGCCTTATATGTATATATGGAATATATACGTATATATATACTGTATATACACTCACCGGCCACTTTATTAGGTACACCTTGCTAGTACTGGTTTGGACCCTTTAGCCTTCAGAACTGCTTTAATTCTTCGAGGCCTAGATTTAACAAGGTGTTGGAAACATCCCTCACAGATTTTGGTCCATGTTGACTTCACGCTGTTGCTGCAGATTTGTCGGCTGCACATCCACGATGCGAATCTCCCGCACCACCACATCCCAAAGGTTCTCCTCTGGATTGAGACCTGGTGACTGTGGAGGCCACTGGAGTACAGTGAACTCATTGTCACGTTCAAGAACCCAGTTTGAGATGATGTGATCTAACCCCCGAGATGGTCGTGCATGAAAATCCCAGTTTTTTGAAATACCTACTACCACGCCACGTTCAAAGTCACTTAAATCCCCTTTCATCCACATTCTGATGCTCGGTTTGAACTTCAGCAGGTCGTCTTCACCACGTCTCGATGCCTAAATGCATTGAGTTGCTGCCATGTGATTGGCTGATTAGCTATTTGTGTTAACAAGCAATTGAACAGGTGTACCTAATAAAGTGGCCTGTGAGTGTATATACACATATAAATATACCATCAGTGTCACTGTCGTATTCTCTCTGCCTCCACCAACCTTCGTCTCCCCGCCCCCCCCCTCCCCCAGGTGTGTGCGTGTCAGGTACGAGCGACGGGGAAGATGTACGCCTGCAAGAAGCTGGAGAAGAAGAGGATAAAGAAGAGGAAAGGAGAATCCATGGCGCTCAATGAGAAACAGATCCTGGAGAAAGTCAACAGTAGATTTGTTGTAAGAATAATTTCATCAAATTTACATTTAACTTTTATTTTACTGATATTTTCAACAACACTGAAACTTTTAGACGTTTTCACTCTGAGAGTCTGAACCAAGCCGCTTCAGTTTAATTGGACAGAAGTCTTGGCAGCAGGCAGCGCTTCTTAATCGTAGAGACAGGAAACAGAAAACGCTGCTCTGCACGTTTAGTTACTTTGTTAATTGAATGTCTGATGTATTTTTCTTTTAATTAACAATGGACATAAAGACGGAATGTGAAGGTGAAGAGAAATTGATCGGGGCAGGTGGTGGAGACAAACATGAGAAGGAGACGGATCATCACATCTTTAACACGTGACCCTCGTCTGTCTGCAGGTCAGTCTGGCGTACGCCTACGAGACGAAAGACGCCCTGTGCCTGGTGCTGACGCTCATGAACGGAGGAGACCTTAAGTTTCACATCTATCACATGGGCGAGGCGGGTTTCGACGAGAGGAGAGCCGTCTTCTACTCAGCAGAGATCTGCTGCGGGCTGGAGGACCTGCAGCGAGAACGCATCGTCTACAGGTCAGTGTTCACGCCACACAGACAGGAAGTTCCCTCCTCTCGTCTCATTGGCTCTCCTCTCCGTTCTGTCTCTAACTGCCGCTCTCTCTCTCTCTGTGGCACAGGGACCTCAAACCAGAGAACATCCTGCTGGACGACTTTGGTGAGGAAACACTTTGATTCTTTAAAACCCGTCTCGCCAACAATTTGTCCAAACACGGCGTTACACTTTCTCTAACTGATTCAAACCACGTTCATTTGGCTGAAACTGAGCCGAAGCATTGCACGTCAGTCAGTGTGGATGATTTTCCAGTGAGAACCACCTGAGGGCGCTTTAACTCCAGCAGTGAGACGCGTCCTCAGAGGAAACTCACATCAGCCTCTGCTGACGAGTTAAATTATCAAAATTAGACTCTAACGTAAAGAAGAAACAGGAAGATAAATAATACAAATAATAAAGTGTTTAAAAAGCCAAATGAAGAAACAAATTCAGAGAATTAATCGACTATAATACAACTTTATTCTTAAAATCTCAGGTTGTTTCTCCTTCATGTGGCTCCAGTGCTCCGTCGTACTGCTCAACTAAAGTTCAGCATTTTAATCAGCAGTACTATTGTCTCTTTGTGTCTTCAGGCCACATCAGGATATCAGATCTGGGTTTGGCGGTTCATGTCCCAGAAGGTGAAACCATCAAGGGTCGGGTGGGAACAGTCGGATACATGTGTAAGTCTGAGCTTCACTGAGTCGGAAAACAACTCCATCTTCATCTGTAGATCACGGAGGAGAAGTCACGCTGTCTCTTTCTCTCTCTCTCTCTCTCTCCGTCAGCTCCTGAGGTGGTGAAGAACGAGCGCTACACCTTCAGCCCGGACTGGTGGGCGCTGGGCTGCCTGCTGTACGAGATGATCGAGGGCCAGTCGCCCTTCCAGCAGAGGAAGAAGAAGATCAAGAGGGAGGAGGTGGAGCGGCTGGTGACGGAGGTGGAGGAGGAATATTCCAGCAAGTTCTCTGAAGACGCCCAGTCCCTCTGCAGGATGGTGGGTGGATTCCGCTCGTCTTTATCTCCCATCGGCTCCGTCGCCACTTCCTAATGCGTCCGTCAGACAAGTTTCTGTTTGCAAAGATGTTGCGTCTCTACGTCCATGTGACCTCGCTCTGCTTCATCAAATCATTCCGACTCATTTAGGAAAGTTTGAGAAGTGGGTGGCTGAAGGTCAAAGGTCATTGTGACCTCACAAACCTTTTTCTATGMGTAAACCTGGGTTCACGTCTTTCATTGTTTTTTTTTTCTCAGCTTCTCGTCAAAGATCCCGCAGAGAGGCTGGGCTGCCAGGGGGGCGGAGCCTCAGAGGTCAAAGCTCATCCCATCTTCCGCTCCATTAACTTTAAACGTTTGGAGGCCGGGATGCTGCAGGTGCCGTTCATCCCTGACGTAAGTTTATCTGCGTAACGACTCAGATGTTGTTGTATATGATTATTATGACCAGATGTTGATGATTCTCTATTTATAACATGTCGAACGTTTCATGGTAAATTATTTATTAAGATATTTTCTATTGTTGACACTCAACTGACAATCTTCAGACCCAAGTTCACAACCTTTCAAAATAAAAGCTTGTGACGTGGTGTGTGTTTTGCAGCCTCAGGCGATCTACTGTAAAGACGTCCTGGACATCGAGCAGTTCTCCACGGTCAAAGGTGTCGAGCTGGAGCCGAAGGACGAATCGTTCTATAACAAAGTGTCCACGGGCAGCATCTCCATCCCCTGGCAGAACGAGGTCAGACAAATGCTTCTGACACACACATACATATATACATAGATATACATATATATATATATATATATATGTATCTCATGTATCTCGATGAACAGGTTGAAGTGTTTTATTGAACTGGACACGTTCTTCTTCATGAGGTCAAAAAGATCTTGAACATGAATCCGTCTCTCGTGTTGTTGGTTCTTTGTCATGATGAAGAACTTTGATCTTCCCCTGCAGATGATTGAGACGGAGTGTTTCACTGAGCTGAACATTTTGTACCAGGACGGGACGGTTCCCCCCGACCTCGACTGGAGGGGTCAACCTTCTCCTCCCCCCAAACAGGGACTCCTGCAGCGGCTGTTCGGCCGACAGGTCGGTTCCCTCTCACTCACAGACACTGACAATAAAGATGGACGACATGACGGCTCCCAAAGCACCTTGATCTCCCCCTGGTGGCTGGATGCAGCCCAGGTCACAAAGCCACTTCCTTCATGTGGGACATTGGAAGTGGGGACACGTCGTCCATCTTTACCTTTTTTAGTACGAGACTAAGGCCTTAGTCTGGTAGTTTCTCCTCCGTCTTTAAACAAATCTCTGTCCGCACGACTTTTGTTTGACAAATTATCTGCGTCCGGATGAGAACACGACTACAACGCTCAAACACACGTCAGTAGGCGGCTTAGTTCTTGTAATTAGGAAGGAATTTACGAAGAGAAACGGGTTTATAGAAACTATTACTACACAAAGGAACAGTGAGCAGGTGTCAAGGAAACTGACGTCGTCGTTTCACAAACTCACAAACCAGAAGTTCACAATCACTGACTCTCCGTCTCTCTGTCTCCCTCTGCAGGACTGCTGTGGTAACTGCAGCGACAGTGACGAGGAGCCCACCAGGCTGTGACACACACACACACACACACACACACACACACACACACACACACACACACACACGATCTTATTTGTTTACAACTTTTGCACATTTGTATTTTTAAGATAGTTCTATCTCTAAAAGTCAGAATGTATATTTTCATCATTATTTAAAACGTGTGAATTATCGCCGTCGCTCAGGAGACGAAACAAGATGAACTTTTTTTTTTTTTCCTGTTTATTGTCCAGGGATGTTGTTTTTTTTTCCTCTTCCTCATTCGTCCAAACATTTCCACGTTATTGAACCTGGAGCTGCTGCCGGCCGCCGAGCAGCTCCACTGGAACAACGGCCTGCTGTAGAAGTGCCTTGCTCGAGGGCACCGCGGCAGAGGGGAAGACTGAGCATTGATCTCTTTTACGCTTTCCCACTTTGTCGGTGAGGCTCATGAACTGCGACCACTTGACTCCCTCCGCCTCCGTCCTGCTGTGCCAGACCTCGCTCTCTCTTCTCTTCTATTTAATTCCACTGGACGTTTGGGAAACGTGACGTCAGAACCACGAAGTCGACATCCGCAGATATTTTTTATAACCGCGTTGTTTTATCTCGTCATGAACTCTGTGAGGATCCGTGTCAGTTTGTCTTCAGGGACTCGTCAGCTCAGTTTCTGGGACGTGACTGTTTCATGTGGGACGATTCTGTTTCAGTGAAAAACACCTGATGACGATCTGAAGTTGTTTTTGTTCCTCTTTTATTTTCAGCCCCAGTTTTATAAAACATATTATAACTGAAAACTTAAACTGTAATTATCATGCTGTGGGTGTTTCAGTTGACTTTTTATTTTCCCAGACTCATATGAGGTGACTGTGACCTTTGACCTCTGACATCTAATCAATTCATCAAAATCTGAAGAAATTTCCTAAACGCAGACTTTAAATATGTTCAAAAGTTTTGTGAGGCCTCATCACTTCACCTAAAATCAATGAATCTGAGTCTAAGTGTAAATTTGTGCCAAATTATAAAAGATTCACTCGCTGTGTTTTGAAGAGAACAAGCTCAGACAAGGGTTTGTGAGGCGACTGTGACCTTCGACCTTTGACCACCTCATCACAATCATGGTAGCAGGTTTGAAAATGTTCCCTCACGGCGTTCTTCAGGTATCCTGTTTACTTTCTTACACGAGAAAGATTTGGCTCGAGAAGACAAAACTCCGACACGACTTTAGTTTCAGTTTGTTGTGTTTAAGATTTTAAACGTTGAATTTCAAAGGAAATTTCTTCTCAGGGTTTATTCTCTATTTTATTTCCTCCTTTTTCTTTTTCTTAGTTTTTCTTGGCTCATGAGCTGAATGATCCATTCACACAAGATTAAAACCAGTCGATCTTCGTCAGTGTCACATGATCAACGTCAACGTCTGAAGGTGCTGGTTGAAATCCTGCGTCACATGACGCCTCAGCTGGTTCTGTTGCTGTCAGTTCTTCCTTAAACGATCTTTGGCCTCTGATTCTAAGCTATTAAAATGAAATACCTCTGAATGTACTCACGGCTCAAGTGTTGGTTTTTGTTGTGAATGGAAACCAAACACAGTCTCATCCAGTTCTAATATTATATATATTTCTAAAGAACAACCGCTGTTGAGCTGCACACGCTTAAAATGAAAATATAATATAAATATATACGTATAAGGTTAAATATAAAAAACTGAGAACTGAAATATTGCACAGTAACAGAAATCACAGTCTCAATTTAAACTGAAAGTCAGTGAGAAGAAAAGGTTTGAAACATCAGTGATTTAAAAACCAGCCAAGAGTTGAAGAGTTAAATTCACAGTGAATAAATATCAACGATCGTCCAAAACAAACTAAACTCTGAAGATTCAACAACAAATTCAACAGAAAATTTAAACTTTTAAAAGTTCATTTCACCAAGTTTACAAAGAAGAGCAGCAGCATCTAGAAAAAGTTATTCACTCGTCAACTGATGATTTCATTTTAAAATCTGAAGCATTTGAATGATTTCATTTTGATTGATTTTCCGAAACTGGTTCAACAAACATTTGACACAATTCTAGAAGAATCAGTGAGTATGAGTCGACTCCATCAGGAGAAAATCCCGTGTTGGTGAAGTCAAGGTTTAAAGTTCAAGCTTCAGTGAGTTCAGTGAGTTCAGCTCTGAATGTTTCCTCCTTCATGAACTCCATCAGGACGTTTCTGTTAACAGACCTTTCGTTAATCCTCGGAGCCTGAATCAGGAAACAGGTTTTATGAATAAACTCGCTGTCGTCACTCTCTTCAGTGTGAATCTAAACGTAACCTTTAAATTCCTCCTGAACCTTCGTGACATTCACAGGCTTCTTTTTAAATTCTTTCTCAGAGGATTCGTTACGAAAGAACTTTTCAAGGAAACAGAAAAAGCTCTTTTATAAAATGTGAAACTGAATTGTGGTCACTGCGACATGTTTACTGCCGAAGCAGAGGACGAGGAATAAAGCTCTAAAATTAGATTCTTTATTTTTTTCCCTTTCAAAATAAAGGTTTCATGTGACCCTGATCCTCCTCTAAAAAACATTAATAATGAAAAAGCAGAACAAGACTCGTCTGTCGTCTGTACTTGTTGCTAAGATACTTTTTAATTTGTCAGAACAGATTTCAGCTCAGCTGGTTCACATGAGTTTAAACCAGTTTAAACACCGAACCAGTTCAACTTCGGATCAGTTTATATTTGTTCTCTATTTACGATACTGACCCCTGGTGGCTGCGCATAGTTAACATCGTCATCACTGTCTTTTAATTCCACATTTCAACTGGACGGTGTAATAACAGGTAAAATCTAAACTTACCACAGAAGATCAGTGACGTGAAGAGAAGAAGAACAGCGATGAGTCGACTGGAGGAGAGAAAAGATGCAGATTCACTGAAAAGTTCTTCAAAAGTAGAATTAAAAGTTTTGAACAAACTTTATTTCAACATTCTGTCGACGTGAACACACGAGAGAACGGTGCTGGACAGACGTCTCTCCGTGTGTCACATTGAATCAGGGAATCAAACACAGCTCGATGTGAACTGTTCCAAGACGGATGCAAGTGACGTCGTCGCCACAAGGTGGCAGCGCTGGTATCCGAGATATCTCAGCTTCATTTCAGGAGGAAGCGGAGACGAGTCGTCGACTTTATTTAAACAAACCGATCCGAGCGTCACGTCTGCACATGTTCTATCTCTTCTAAACACTCGAAGGTAAATAAGTAATTTCACAAGATAAAAAGTGAAACTTCAGATGTGAAAGATCCTGAGACCAGAAGAGCAACGTTCACTCATCATCATCATCATCATCTTCATCATCATCATCATCAGCTGATTCAAACATGACGCTCACAGACAAATCCCCCCGATCGCCGACAAACAGACGTGAACGTCATGTCCTCCGGAGATAATGACCATGATTTCAGTCTCCAGTCGGGACGAGGAGTGTCTTTACGTCTCCGTCCAATCAGTCTCACACCGGGCGAGAAATGAACTTTGATTAGCTGATGGAGACAGTGAGACATTTCTTTTCTTTCTGAGGAGACTTTTTTTTTCTTCTTCTTCTCTCATCCGTCATCGGTCTGATTCCCTCCTCTCTACCTCCTGCACATTCTCTCTCATCCATCTCTCTCTTTCTCCCTCTCTCTCTTTCCTCCATTAACTTTCTTACTCTCATGTTTTTGACTTTCATCACACTGCAGTTTGAAATCAACAGAGACATTAAAAGCTGATAAAGAAAAATCTAAGCGTCCGTCAGTGCAGAAACAAACTTCGTCCACGTGGGTCAACATCCATCCTCCATCCTCCGTCTGTTACCATGGCAACTCAAACTCACGGAGGACTGAAATGAACGTGATGGAAGTCGACACACGTCCGCAGTCTCTGCCGCTCGCTGCGATTTGTTTTGTGCCGTTGTGTTCAGAGGACGAGTCGTCAGCTGATTTCATGATTACATCGACTTCCTTCACGACGCGGAATAAAGAGACGAGCTGAAGAGGCTCCGCAGCCTCTCAGCAATCAGGACGTGAGCTGACACTCGAGCAGGAGCAGCCGCTGAGACTCGTCTGAAATCCACAGAATTCACTGCAGAACAGGCGGAAGACAGAATAAACTCTGGAGTCCTTTCACGTTGTGTCCTTCTGGGCCATAACCTGGGTGATGAGAACGTTTTCTGATTCCCATGATGCTCAGTTCGGTGCCCAAACTCCTACAATGGTTTAATATCATATCATGGATCATGTCATGAAACGATTCCATGTAGTTTTCTCATGTTAACGTGTTTATTTCCTGTCAAGGAGGCTTGTAGATGAGAGGTATCAAACCTGTCACGACACTCCGTGTGAACACCCGCTGCTGTCGTGACTCAGGTGAGGCTCAGCTGCAGGATTTGAATTTGTTTAACCGTCACATCTACGACAGGAGCAGAATGGAGAAGGAAAAGCACAGCTCCCTGCTCTCGACCATTAGAACACCTCGTGTTAGTTAAATGAGTTCAATGGATGAAATGAAACAGTGAATATAACATTTAATTATTCCACATTATTCTGTTAGAATCTTTGCAGCCATTTAGCTTTGACCTGTCGTTTCTATTCGACCTCTACGAGACGCGTGAGGTCTCAACACGACACATGCCCCTCCCCTCCAGCCTGGTGAGCCAATCGTCTTTTTTGAAACAGTCGAATGGGAAACGTGTCGTGATTATGATCCAAACATCATCGTGTTACTTTTCTACCTTTTTACATGAAGTGAACCCAACGTCTTAGTCCCTGAAACACGTGTTCTCTCTCTGACCAGCAGGAGGCGACTCCTCTGGTAGCTTCTATAGAAGTCTATGGGATACCTGCCGTGTGATTGACAGCTAGTACCGTCCGACAGGTGCAGGTGTAGATGGGCGTGTCCTCGAGCTCTCGCCCTCTTCTCCAAATATGGTTACTTTCTGAGGAAGTTTAAATCTGAGAGGGCGGAGCTTTAAAGTGAGGACGTCCAGCACACAGGCCTCTATTGTCTGTACTGTGTGTGTGTGTGTGTGTGTGTGTGTGTGTCACCTCTTGATCAAACGTCATGTAGTCACACTTGTTTTACTCACACACTCACACACACACGTGATTCTTTTGTGTCACTTGATGTTGAATCTAACTCTCTCTCTCTCTCTCTCTCTGTGTCGGTGACTTGGACCTGTGATGTCACTCTGAACCCACTCAGACCGCTGTCCTCTCTGTTCACTTCATTGTCTCTCTCGTCCCACGCTCGGGTTCCTCTCTCTCTCTCTCTCTCTCTCTCTCTGATTGTTGTCGTGTTGTTCTCTTATTTCCTTCAGGTCCCTTCATTCTTGACTCTGTGACTCAGCTCCCTCAGATCCACGAGTTTTCAAGCTTTGACTCAGAGCGTCGCTTCTTTTCTTCATGAAACTCGAGCGTCCAAGAGAAATAACTTGACTGTGAAGTTCACGTTCCCCAGAGGACGACTCCTCCTCTTTGAAGTCATAAAGTTAGATATCCTCCATGTTCGCAGATGGGACATGAACCAAACGAGAGGATCTCAGTAGACGTTAAATGATGGTTTCTGTCATTTCAGCTCGTTTTTATCTCACTGAAGTTTGTTCAAGTTTCTGATCAGTTTGAGTTGAATAAGTTATTTGATGATATAAAAACAGGCGGAGACGTCATGACTGACAGATGAGACTGACTCCTGATTGGTCGAGCATGTCAGCGAGACGTCGACTGCATCTAATCCAGGAAACTAAATATAAATAAACCAGTGATACTTTTCCACACGTCTGTTTAATGTGTTCTCTCCCCTGGCATCAGCACTAATGATCCGCCGGCAGCAGCCACAGCAAAGCCTCATGGGAGCTGGGAAACGTCCGGAGAAAACCATGAGTCATTAATTCGACAGGCTGCGTTAATGCTAATGTCTCCAGGGGATTATTTAAAGGGACATTTCATCACTTTCCAAAACACTGTGAGGAAACTGCTGCTAATTGACGTCCACTGTGAATATAATATAAATATAAAGTCTGCTCAGATGTTTCGTTGGTAGCAAATGTGATTATATGATGATTTATAACTTTAACACAATGAGCTTTCTTTAAATCTCTTGCTGAGTTAATTATGTTCGGGTCTTTTCTTATTTTCTGTTTTTAAAAAAAAACCATCGGCTGCAAAAGTCTGGAGCCACGACTCCGCTGCTCGACGTTCAACAAACACACAACATGAATACATCATCACCACTTAGCATCATATTGTTGTTCCTGTCCAGTTTCTTTTCATTTTCACCATCGGGTCAAATTTACAACTGACTGTTAGGGTTTGTGTTTCAACAGGTGGAACCATCAACTGTCAGTAAAGATGATAAACGATCAGCGAGATCCTCTTTCTTCATCGAAGTTGAAATCATTCGGTGTGTTTTTCTTTGGTTGAAGTTATCGTTCAGTTTTCACATCTGATGTCTTCAGGTGTGTGTTTGTAGAAACTTGATAAAGACACTGTCGGTAAAAAGGTGTAAACTTTACTCACAGTTCAGTCCAAAGAAAGGAAAAGTGTAAATCTGAAATCCAAAGACTTGAGTGAGGGTCAGACGCAAAAACAGAAACACGAGGAACCAAACAAGAACCATGGAAGGAGCTTAAAGGGTTCACCAGGTGACAACTGCAGGGACAGGAAACTCCTCAGGTGACAAGGAAGTGAAAAGACCTGAAAGACTGGTGTTGACAAAATAAAACAGGAAGTGACAAAATTTAAATAGCTGCTCTCCACATTTTATAACAATCAATAATAAACTGTGTTAATTAAAACTCTTCTCTGGAAAGTTACAAAAACTGAAATTGACAAAACAGCAGATGATAAAACGGATGTTTTTGAAAACAGAAGAAGACTCAGTTTGGTCCATGTCCCGTCTGCCAACGTGGAGGAGGATGTCCATGACCTATACTGCAGCCAGCCTATAGGGGGCGATGCAGATGGTTTGGCTTCACTTTTTGAAGCTATGTCATCGACCTTTATTTACACTTACACACACACACACACACACTGGTTGATTTGTATTCTCATCATTAGACTAAAAAACTGATGGTCGAGAGAGGAAGGAACAGAATGAAGGAAGGAGGGAGAGAGAGAGAGAGAGACAGAAAGAGAGAGAGAGAGAGAGAGAGGGAGAGAGAGAGAGAGAGAGAGAGGAGGAGTCAGACTGAAGGTGAACACACGGACTCTCTCTCTCCATCAGACCGACACACGACGCTCAGCTGCCGGCGTCAGAGAGACACAGTGACCGGAGCAGAGGACGCACAGGC